CTTCTAAACTGTGCAAAATAGAACCTTCTCATTGGGGATTTTTCCTCACAGCTGGGCATCTTGTCGTGCTCCCGGGATGTCGCACATATGCACACTACTAGTGACCTAGTATGTTGCCTTGAAGCTTCTATGTCTGAGGGAGGAAGTAGAGTGTGGCAGATGGGGCCATTTTAAAGGTAACTGAATGACACGGCTGTCACCTGTGCCCCTGCCCAAAACAGTCTCACATGTGGTACACATGGCTCTGCAGTTAAAGTATAAACTTCAGTGAATGAACTACAGATATATACTATCCTATGTCCTAAGAGAGGAAAGCCAGCTATTAGAAGGGGATGCATCACAAGTAAAGTCAAATGAAGACCCTTAATTACAGCTCCTTACAGGTCTGAAGGACGATGACATCCCAGGTTTGGAGAAAGCTCCTTTTTTCTTTCTTTTTGGGTTTTTTGAGACAGAGTCTCACTACATAGTCCAGGCTGGCCTTGAACTCACTGTGTAGCCTAGGCTTGCCTTGAACTCACGGCAATCCCCCTGCCTCAGCCTCCTAAGCATGATGCTCGAAGGCACGCACCACCATGTCTGGCTCCCAGAGGATTCTTATCACCACAACGCTGAGGCTCAGTGTGCTGATGCCACTGCCACCACAGTAGCAGTAACAGGGAAGTGTCCTTTAACCAGACCAGACACACTGAGAAGCCACAGGGTCAGGACATTGTCATTCATCTCCAGCCAAAACGCAAGACACACACACCAACGCATGCTCATGCTGACTATCACTCATAGTGGCTTCCTCCTTGCAGTCTTCAGGGAATGCCACGTGCTCAGAGTTCCCAGAAGCAGAAAACCAGAGTCCACGCAGAATAAACTAGCTCATGTTAGCTGTTTGGTGGAACTGATTCACAGCACTGAAATATCAGCAAACTTTGGAAGCAGCCACCTAACCTCTCACCTGCCAATCTGGAGCCCCCATTCCAGAAGCTGCTGGACAGCTGAGGGGTCCGGCCAGGGGAGGAAAGGGAACTCCTCCTATCAGGGTGTCCCCAGCTAGGGACAGCAACTGCCAAGGCCGAAGGGCATGCTCGTGACACAAGTTAATGGTGCGCAGAATCCCAGACTTGTGAACGAAATCTAAACCTGTAAGAAAGTACCTCCTAAGCCAGGTGTGGTGCCACACGCCTGTGATCCCAGCACTTGGGAGGCTGAGGCAGGAGGATCACTGTGAGTTCGAGGCCAGCCTGGACTGTCCATAGTGAAATCATAGTAAAATCCTACTTCAAGAATCTAAAAACAAACAAAAAACAAAAAAGAAGTTGGATTTCAGAGAACCCATTAAGGAAACATTATATTGCAGATTGCAGCTCCAAGGGTGAAAATGTGACTATTCCCATACCAGGAAACTGAGTGAACAGGTGTCCTCAAGGCTTTAGGTCTCAGGACCCTTTACACTTGTAACATCCTTAAGTCCACTACAAGGCTTTTGTTCTTGCGGGTCATACTTATTCATATTTGCTATATTAGAAATATGTTTTGTTTCATTTTTACGAGCTCTCTGTGTAGCCCAGGCTGGCCTCAGATGATCCTCCTGCCTCAGCCTCCCAAGTGCTGGGATTACAGGTGTGCACCACCACACCTGGCCAGCTGTATTACCAAAGAAATTTAAACTGGACTGGTGCACTTGCTGGCCAGACTAGAACACTTGCCTAGCATGAGAAAGGCCTTGAGTTCAATCCCCAACACAGCAAAAAAGGGAAAGAAAAGACATGTAAACTGAGAAATTGACATGGAAATCCTTATAATGTCTGGAGGGCTTTTCCTTGTTACTTCACTGCACAGTGGAAGGGCTTCCTGCATACTTCCTCTTCTGTCCCTCAGCGTACTGGCAGGATGTGGACCCAAACCCTCTGATCTAAGAGCACCAATCATTTGTTACTAACTGATGATTAGCCAAATGATTACTTAAATAGGGTGCACTTTAATTGTCCTTTTATCGTTCACTTATTATTCAATCATTCACTATTATATAATAGATAGGTATTAGTTATTGCACTATGCAAAATTTGGCAATAAATATGTAAAACTTACAGAAATATGGACTTGGGCACAATAGACAGACACTTTGGAAGTGGTATATTAAGAAAAATAACTTACCCAGGCGTGACAGTTCATGCCTGTAATTCCGGCTGTTCAGGAAGCTGAGGCAGGGGGATCTCAAGTCCAAGGCCAGCCCTGGCAATTTAGCAAGACCTTGTCTCAAAATAAAACTTAAAAATACAGGATTGGGGATGTAGCTCAGTGCTCCCTGGGTTCAATCCACAATACCTTAAGAAAAAAAAATAAGGAAAGGGCCAGGGATTTAGCTCAGTGGCCCTGTGCCTGCCTTGCATGGCAGGAAAGGACCAAGGAAAATAACTTAATGAAAACAACAGCACTGATTGACATGAGTGAAATGTGTATTTTATAAATATGCACTCTGCCTAAAACAGATGTGCGATTTGCTTGTCAGGCTCCCTTTGCCTCCAGGGTTCACACTCCCATCGCCCTGCACCCTTCGAGGGGCAGGAGAAAAGAACAGACAGCAGGAAAAGAGTGAGGGACTGAGACACAGAGAAGGAAAAGAAGGAAACAGGAAAGGGAGTGGAGAGGGAGAGGAAGTATATGTGGAAGGTAAGCACTGTGTACCCAAACAGGGACGAATAAAGATAAACTTACAGCAACAGCAGAAAACACAGAGCAGTGCAATGCACGCTCAGAGAAGAGAGGAAAGCGACAGGATGAAGGGCACTGCCAGGGACAGCAGAGGTGGGCGGGGCTGCAGTGCACGGTCACTGGGAAGTGTGGGTGGGGGTCCCCGAAACCCAGGGAGTGCAGAGCGCGGGTGTTGACTGGGCTGCTCCTGTGTGTGTATGTGTGAGTGTGTGTGTTAGAGCTTTGGGTATTTCTGAGACTCAGTTCGGTTGGATGCAGTTTGCTCCTGTTCCACATGGATGAAATTGTGCAGAAGCAAAGTAAAATTTGCATCACGCTCAACTTGCTCCATAACAATATTGTGTTGGAAGAAATTCATGTTTTCAAAATAAGAGTTGTACCAGAACTAACGATACTTAGATATTTATGAATGCAGAAATATGGCACAGTGTGATGGCAAACACCTATAATCACAGCACTCAGGGGACTGACGCAGGGGGATCACCATGGGTTCAAGGGCAGCCTGAATTACATAGTGAGAACCTGTCTCATAAATAAATAGATAGAGGCCCGGGGATTTAGCTCAGTGGTTCCACTGCCTGCCTCGAAAGTACAAGGTTCTGAGTTCGATCCCCTGTAGCAAAAATAAATAAATAAATAAATTGAATAAATAAATAGATAAATAAAAATTTGAGCCTGGCATGGTGGCACACACCTATAATTCCAGCACTCAAGAGGCTGAGGCAGGAGGATTGCCACAAATTCAAGCCCAACCTGGGCTACATATGAGTCAAGGTCAGCCTGAACTACAGAGCCAGACTCTTGTCTCAAAAAAAAAAAA